AGGCGGTGCAAGGGCGAGACGAGGGGGGAGTCCAAGGCACGAGCTGGGACACTCGCTTTTGGTAACGCCGGTACTGCGGATATTTGCGGGCGCTGAGCTCCTCTGTGAGCGAGGTGGAGCCTTGAAAGAGGAGGGTCAAGAGGAGAGGCCCCACGGCCGTCCAATTTGCCCAGAACGGCCAGCGTGCGAAGTTGTTCCAATCGTGCCGTCGTTCCAAGTGAATGCCCGCGGCCGGGTAGGCAAAGAGATGGAAAACCCACCACAAGGACATCTCCGCCCAGAAGTTTGGGTGCCGGGAGAAGGCGAAGAGGCCTGACTGCAGGAAACCGTCGGCGATGTCCCCGGTGACGAGGGGGATGGAGGTGTCGGGGTTTTTCGGAGGACGGGCGGGAGATTCCGCGGTGGTTGCCCGGAGGGAGGCGCGGCGCTTTCGGCTGGGACGTTGAAAGAGGGCTTGGTATTTTTGACGCTGGAAGACCCATTGTTGTTGATCGGCCACGGTCTCGACGAGGAGGAGGAGGAGGAAGAGAGAGGCGAGGACGACGTCGACGAGGGTGAGGGCATGGTAGGTCCTGCCCACCCAGGCGAGATAAGCGGGGGCGATGAGGAGGAAGAGGAGAATGTTCTGCCGGGTAGAGGAAGAGGAACCGTGAGTGGCAAGGTATCGCCAAGAGGCCAGGGGAGAAATTTGGCGCGAAAAGAAACGGATTGGGGAAAAGGAAGCGTCGTCAAGGCACCTGAAAGAAGGCAATAAACACCACGTTGAAGAGCTGCAAGGTAGAAAAGGAGAACCAAGTCCTGATCTCCTCCCATCGATAGTCTTCTCCCCCCCCCGCGTATCCCCCCTTGCGCCAGAAGTTATAGGTGAGTCGGAGGCCCCACAGAGACGCAAGACCAGCCAACAGAAAAGGGCGGGTCATGCACTCGGACACAGTCGTCGGCCAGACCGTGTCCAACGCCACGTACGGGTGCAGCGCGAACAACCACGCGTACAAGGGGGGGGCGACCGACCAGATCCGATCCACCCAGGAGAATTCTTGGGTAACCGCGCCCAGCAGGCCGGTGAGCGCGATGAACCAGAGGCAGAGGACAAGGATGGGGGCAAAGGGGTCCGAGCTTTGCACGTACGCTTTGTCCGGGCGAAGGAGGGTTTCAAGAGGGCGGGTCTTGATGTCGTTGACGAGGGCGTTCAGGTGCCAGGTCAAATGCGGCGAAAAGTTGTACCAGCATACCATAGGTGTTCGCGCGGTGAGGGATCTGTCGCATGGTGGGAGGAAGCAGGGGCCATTTAGAAAAGTCACGATGAGGGATATGGAAAGCTTAGCTTTTCACGACCTAGCCCGTGGCGGCGACGCGTGCCTGGTACCTGAGACACGAGGGGCAAATTAAAACTGAAAAAGGCGCGAACAAAGGTCTCACTAGAGCTGGGTACCATTGTAACTAACGCGGCCATCTTACGCGACGACATGTACACAAGTTGCTGAGCTTGTGATCGTTAATACCCAATATTGTAATGACAGCGCTGACTGCAAGAAAGGATTAATCCTCCTGTCCTGTGGGCATCTTCGTCTACACCGATACCATTTCAAGTTTTGGGGAGCATACAGGCAGGGTTGACGACGGTCTCCAGACTCGAGAAGTTGGCAGCAGAAGTATCAATACTGTAACTACATTTTTTCTGGTACGCGCGGAGGCGTTTAATTCTATAGGCCCCGAAAAAAGGCGCTTCAAGTAAGACATACGAGACACGAACTACCCGCAAAAATTTACATAATTAAACACGCATTGTAAAGCAAATCAGAAGCAGGTTGAGACGGGTCGAGGAGGTCAGCCACTACATACTTTCCCATGTCTCTCTACGCACCCGTACACAGAGAGACATGGCTCCATGCATCCGCACGTTCTTAAACCTCCTTCCCCGTGTGTATGCCTCCCCTCCCGTCGCCATCTCGCCAAGCCGGATTTAGCGAAGTCAGGCACGCCGAAAGCCCTTCTATCGACCTTTACCACATCCCACTCACCTCTCGCGAACTTACAGGGCATGGGTAGTGGCGGGGATGTTGATAGTTACTACAGTGGAGCAGGAGCGCTTACCACCCCCAGTATCCCTGTGCTGTTGCGGGCTCTTGAGGCCCGGCTGTCGATAGAAGAAGCAGGAAGGCCACCATGTCGAGGAAGTTGTGCACCGCTTGGCAGTCTTCGAAGCTATGAAATCCTGCTGCGGTACCACAATAAGCAGGATCAGAGTGCCAAGAGCTTAGGGCCAACCAATGTGACGACAAAACAACGTCTTCATGGGATGACCTTGGAGCTACAGAGGGCGCACCGGTATGAGGCGGCAGAGGCCTTGGACCTAGTTGTCGCGTGGCTGTTACGATTTGAAGAGGAACAAGAACGTCACCCTCACAGCAATGGAGACAAAGGCTCGGTGTTTCCTTCATCCTCCGTCCTGACGGTCTTGTCTCTGTTGGCAGGCGCTCCTGGCTTGGTGGAAGAGAGTGCGGGCATCGGAGCCAGGAACCTGGGTCCTTTGGCTACTGGGTTGTTAACACGGTCTAGGCAACAGACCCCCGAGTCGGACGCCGTGTTACGACCAGAGCATCGCAGCAAACAAGGACATGTGCCACCAGGGCCCTCAAGGAGACTGGAGGTGGCCAGAAGGGGATGTCGACATCTGGGAGAGACGTGGGCACGCACGCGTGGGGAGAAGGCACTGGAGCCAGTATTAGAACATCCAGCCCTCCCGACCCGGGTAGCATCGGATTGGAACGTGATGGGGGAACGAAGGCTGATGGATGGGGACGCCCACCAGGAAGGTACTGGCTTGTGCGGCGCCACCCTTTATCCCAGCTGGGTCTTCTCCACTCTCCCCGAGCCCCGTCCCACCCTGGAGATGGGCCCCCCCACGTCTGCCCTGAAAATGTCTGAGGCCGAGCGTTTCCTGGCCAAACCCTGGACGGACGCGTCGTTCTTGTCCTCGTTGGGTCCCCTCCGCCCGGCGGGGGCCCGCCCTGCCTTGGCTGTCCCCGATGTGGGCGGGCGCCTGACCCTTCCCCCTCTCTCGGACACGCGCGCCCAGGACCCGCTCGACCGTGTCCTCCGCTCCCGGGCTTGGCGTCAGGCTGACACAGCACCCCTGCCCTCGGCACATGGGGTAGAGGCTTCCCGTCGTCCTCCCCCTGTCGCCTCGCCAAGCCAGGACGCGCCGCCCCCCCATCCGCCGCTGCCGGCCACGAATCCGTGCATTACCCCACCCCCACAGCCTCCCTGCCGACCCTCCCTAAGCCCGTGCTTGGGCTGGGAAAGCACTTGGGCCACAGGCGGAGGTCCCCACTGGGTGCCGCCCTCCCCCCGCCTTCTCTCCCAGGAGCCCTCCCCGGCCCTGGACGCCGTCCTCCCCCCTTCGCGCCCCGGACCCGTCTTGGAACAGCACATGCTCGTGGACGCGGTCTTCCAGGCGCTCCGAGGCCTCCCCTCCCAGGCTTTCCTCCTTGACACCCAGGGCCTGTCCCTCCAGCCGCGGCCCTACCTCCGGGTAGTCGGCAGCAGCACAGGGAGCATCCAACGCGCCCTGGACGGCGTTGCGGTGGCCGGTACTTGTTTTCTCCGCCTTCAGACCCTCAGCGCTTATCTCGGGAGCCAACGTCTTCTCACCACCACCGGTAGCGGTGGCAGGGCGGGCTGGAAGGTGGGGGGGAGGGCGGTCAGTCAAGTCTACCAGGCCTTCGCGGCCGTCCTGGGTCGCGAGCTTGCGTGTTGGGCGGCCCGCGTGGAAGAGGAACGGGAATCTGCGGGGATTCGATGGGCTCAGAAGGGTCATAGCCCGGGAAACCAGCGCCAGGCGAGCGTGCTGGAGGTCTGGGTGGCGACCAAGAGCCTCCGGTCCTGGGTTCAATCCTTGGCCGGGCTCTGCCACTGCTTCCCGCCTCCCTCTTCCCCACCCCAAGCCGGGCCGCGGGTGGGCCCATGCCCCTGGTCCCCTCCATTGAGCCTACAATCCCTCCCTCAGACGGGCGCCGGCCTCCTCGCGACTCT